GCGAGCGAAGAATGAGAGAGAGAGAGAGAGAAGATATAATAACGAGACGAAGAGAGAGAGAGAAGAATAAGAGAGGAGAGAGAGAGAGAGAGAGAGAGAGAGACGAGAGAGAGAGAGAGAGAGAGAGAGAGAGAGAGAGGAGAAGAGAGAGACGACCGAGAAGGGAGAGAGAGGTGGAGGGGAGCGAAGAGAGGAGAGAGAGAAGAAGAGACGAGGGGAGGAGGAGCAGAGAGCGGTTAGTTTTTCTCGTTAGAAGGGAGGCCGAGGGGAGGGCGAGAGGGAAGGGGGGAGGGAAGGGGAAGCGGGACGGGAAGAGATGGAGGATTAGGAGAGACGAGGAGGGAGCAACGGTATGTTGAGATGGTAGGGACATGGGGGGGTGCGGAGGGGAGAGGAGAGAGAGGATGAGGAGAGGAGATGAGAGCAAGGAGTGAGACCGAGAGAGAGAGAGAGAGGGAGAGCGAGAGAGATGAGATGCGACCGACGAGAGAGAGGAGAGAGAGAGAGAGAGAAAGAGAGAGAGGGACGGTAGGGTTATTTGGGGGGAGGGTACGGGTGAGGGGAGGGAGGTGCAGGTGAGGGAGGGAGGGCAGGGAGGAGTGAGGGATGGAGAGAGAGAGACAGAGATCGAGGAGAGGACGGTAGAGTTTGAAGAGATGGTAGGGAGGCGCGGGCAAAAGCCTAGACAGGGATTGAATGGGCCACGAGGATAGGGTGGGCGAGAGAGGGAAAGAGGGATAGGGAGAGGGAAGGGACCAGGGAGATAAAATGGACGGGGGACCGGGGGGTAGAGGCGAGGGCAGGGAATGATGGAAAAGGGCCAGGGGACAGGCGAAATGGAGGGGAGGGGAGGGGAGGAAGAGAGGAGAGGAGGAGGAGAGAGGAGAAGAGGTATTTGGTGGAAAGAGAGGAAGAGAGGAGAAAAAAGCAAGAAGAGAGCAAGAAGAGAGAGCAGGAGAGATTTGAGGATAGACGGGTTGGGAGGGAGGGAGGGAGGGCGGGACGGTAGGGGAGCGACGGGAGGGAGGGAGAGAGTGCAGGGGAGAGGCAGGGAGACGGGACAGGGAAGGGAGAAGAGATGCGAGCAGATGAGAGACGAGAGGAGAGCGAGAGAGATTTGAGAGAGAGAGGAGAGAGAAGAGGTGGAGAGCTAGAGAAGTCCGGGGGAAGGAGAGAGAGATAGAGGACGAGAGATAGATGCGAGAGAGATAGAGAGTATATAGAGAGAGACAGAAGATCGGTAGGGACGGGAGAGGAGAGGAGCAAGGAAGGAGAGGAGAGCGATGGTTTGGGCAGAGGGAAGAGGAAGAGAGAGAGGAGAGAGAGGGTGGGGCCGAGGAGAGGAGAGGAAAGGAGAGAGAGAGAGAGAGGGAAGGGAGGGAGAAAGAGAGGAGATGAGAGAGAGAGGAGAGACGAGAGAGAAGAGAAGAGGAGAGAGGGAGAGAGAGAGAGATGAGAGAGACGGAGATGATGAGAGAGAGAGAGAGAGGAAGAGAAGAGGGAGAGAGCGCGAGAGAGAGAGAGAAAGAATGTGAGAGAGAGAAGAATGAGAGTGAGAGGGAGAAAAGAATGAGAGACGGGAGAGGGAAAAAAAAGGAAAAAAGGAAATGAAAAAGAAAGAATGAGAGAGGACGAGAGAGAGAAAGAGGAGAGAACGAGAGAGAGAGAGGAGAGAGAGAGAGAGCGAGAGGAGAGAGAAAGAGAGGAGAAAGAGCGGTAGAGAGATGAGAGGAGGAGTGAGAGGGAGAGAGGAGAGCGAACGAGAGACGAGAGAGAGGGAGAGGGGGGAGGGGAGCGGAGGAGAGAGGGGAGGGAGGAGAGGGGAAAGAGGAAGAGGGAGAGGCAGAGAGAAAGAGGGTAGAGAGAGGAGCACGGTTAGGTAGGGAAGGGAGGGAGGAGGGAGGGGAGGGGATGGTGGAGAAGAGGGACGATCAGAGCAGTGAGGGAGGGGGGGAGAGACGAGGGTGAGAGAAGAGAGGGGGAGGGAGGGACCGACGAGGAGACGAGAGCGAGAGTGGGAGAGACGCAGAGCGAGAGTGGAGAGGCGAGAGCGCGATGAGTGAGCGAGAGGAAGAGAGAGAGGAGATGAGAGAGAGAGAGAGGAGAGAGAGAGAGGAGCACGAGAAAAGAGAGAGGAGACAAGGAGGAGAGGGAGAGAGACGAGCGAGGAGAGGGGGGCGAGGGTGGGAGAAGGAGACGAGAGAAGGAGAAGAGGGAGAGGGGAGCGAGAGAGCACGGTAGGGAGGAGGGAAAAAAAAGGAAAACAAATAGACAAGAGGACCGTTGATGGAAGAGAGGAGAGAGCCGAGGAGGACCGGAGGAGTGACAGGAACGGAGAGAAGGAGGGACAGAGAAGGCAGAGCAGCGAGGGAGAGAGCGGAGAGACGCCCAGAATGAGAGCGAGAGAGAGCGGAGGAGGGGGAGGAGACAGAGGGCGGAGGCCAGGAGAGCGAGAGGAACGCGAGGGAAGTGGAGAAGAGAGAAGGAGAAGAGGGAGGTG